TCAATCCCTCATCTTTCTATAGATCAAATCTAGCAATAATTGATGATCTTTAAGCTAAAATATATAATTTTCTTCACTATAAATTGTAGGTCTTTAGATATACTGATCAGTTATACTTTCGATCGCAGATTACAGAGATCAATTCACTATCTGTTTCAATTGAAGTCCTTAAACATATACCAACATATATAGCTATAACTTCATTAATCGGCGATATTGATGAAAAATATTTGATCTTTATATAGATCCGAACAAGATCAATCGTAGTTCTTTATTAAAACCAATCATACAACTATATCGTATATCAATTATAGCTTAAAAATATTAACCCCCTTATTCACAAACAAAATTTTTATTTTATAAACAGTTTATATATTAGATTTTGTATGGAAATTTTGTTTTATAAACCTTTTATAAAATAAAGATGTTGTTTGTGAATAAGGGGGTAAAAGTGGATTCCCATAATAACGATCAATTTTAGAAAAATTATAGAATTAAAACTTAGATTTGTGTAAAGATCAGTCAAAGATCCAATTATATAACTTTATAATGATCAGTCGTAAAACCTCATAACAATCAACTGTAGATAGTTTTAGTGATCAATTAAAGACCCATATAAAGGTCAGTAGTAAATTGTAGATCCTTTTAAAGATCATGAAAATATATGTATATGTAGATCAGTTTTATTAATGATCATATATTGAAATTCAACATCTGAGTCTAATTGAAGATATTAAAAGCATTAATTTTTTCATCTGTTGGTGATCTTTGTAATGATCGTATTTTGCCAGTAATCACAGATATTCATATGGACCCATTTGATCTTAAAATAGATCTTTTTATAGATAACTACAACTGAATAACGATCAATCGAAGATCCATATAAAGAAACCTTGTAACATAAAATTAAACGTACATATATCCGCATAACGATCAATCGTAGATCTATTTTACAATCAATTGTGAATCTTTATAATGTTCGAAAGAAAAATTCCAGATCCATCTCAATTGCAAGTTCATATGAAGTTCTTCTTTAAGATCAATTATAATCTTTTAAATCATCAATTGATGATTTTTCAAAAAATGATCGCATCAATGGCAAATATTTATAACGATTATTTGTGAATGAAAATCAATGAATAAAAATCAGTCTTAAATTCAAATCACTGTAAATATCAATCATAGATCATTAAAACATTTAAACCTAAATCATTATAAAGATCAGTCGTGGATTCTTAAACAGTCGTATATTCATATAAAATCCAATTGTAAGAGATCTGTTGGGATCAGTAGAGATCATTATAAGAACATTGTATAAAGATCATTCGAAATTTTTTTATGAAGATCTATTTTAGATCCTTATAAAAAAGCAAAAACTAAATTTTATGATGTTCCTTGTAATAATCAGTTGTATTTTTCTGGATAGACCTTCTAAAGATCATTACATAAGATCATTAAAACATTTAAACCTAGATCGTTATAAAGATCAATTGTAGATTCTTAAACAGTCGTATATTCATATAAAAACCAATTGTAGATCCTTTAGATATCAATAGTGACCATTAAAGAGATCAGCTGGGATCAGTAGAGATCATTATAAGAATATAGTATAAAGATCATTCGAAAAATTTTTATGAAGATCTATTTTAGATCCTTATAAAAAAAAGCAAAAACAAAATTTTATGACATTCCTTGTAATAATTTTATGACATTCCTTTTAAAGATCATTACATAAAATCATTAAAACATCGATCGTTATAAAGGTCAGTCGAACAGTCGTATTTCATATAAAAAACAATTGTAAATCCTTTAGATATCGATAGTGACCATTAAAGCTCCCTTCACACAAGCACACAAGTAATGTGATCTGTCGAAATTTTGTGTAGAAGAGAACGGATTGGATGGGAACGGAACGCAATATGTAATGAAACCATCACACATTGAGAGCAAATACGGATGGAAAATTCATTCTATTCATTTTTGAAAATGATTCAAAAAACAAGCAAGTCGCATTAGATCAGGGATGTATTTTTATGTAAACACATACAAAAAAAGTGAAACAGCTGATTCCATCGTACTTTGTTATTATTTTTTACCAATCGTGTAAACACGAAAAATATAATCAAACGACTTTTATTCTTTTTTTTTGTCATACGGATGGAATTTTATTTTACTTTTTCATTAGACTTGTCGTATGTAAAGTGTGATCGTCTGAAGGGCCCTTAAAGAGATCAGCTGGGATCAGTAGAGATCATTATAAGAATATCGTATGAAGATCATTCGAAAATTTGTTATGAAGATCTATTTCAAGTTCTTATAAAAAAAGTAAAAGCAAAACTTTATGACGTTCCTCGTAATAATCAGTTGTATTTTTCAAGAGAGACCTTCATTCCTGATCCTTATAAAGATTAATAGAAGATACATACAAAATGCAAACATTGATCTTTATAGCCATTAATCGTAGATCCGTATAAAGAATAATCGTAGATTTTTGACAAATTTTAGTCAGTTTTTAAATTATTAAGCTTTTAACTTAATGGCTTTTTGGTTCTCTTCAAAAAAAGTTCTCATTCCTTTAAAGCCGCTTCTTCCAAGAAGTTTTAGCAGAAGAAGCAGCACATTAATTAATTAAAAATAAAACAACAGCAGCAAGCAGCAGTAGTAGCAACAACAACAAAACTGTAGAAAAGTTCAAAGATGACTTCTCTACAGCTTTAAGATGGAAGGGAGAGAACAACTTTTAAACCAGCAGCAGCAGCAACAACCCAAAAATAAAAACTCGGAATAAACTGAAGAGAAAAAGTAGAAAAAAAAACACACAAAAACAAATAAATAAATGCAACGGATGCAAATTGTTTTCAGTAAAACAAAATTTGCCGTTGTTGTAGTTTGTAGTGTTTTTAGACAAAGTATGAGGGAGGAGAAATTGTTGGACAGGCCAACAAGCCAGTATTAAGAAGCAAGAAATAAGGGACCCCAAAAAAAAAATATGAAAAAAAAAATACAAGGAAAGAAATGTATTTAACAAATAGAAAAATATTGGGGAGTTTAATAATGAAAAATAAAACAAATACAGCACAGCAGCAACAACAACAACATTAAAACAAATTGCATTAAAATACAAGGACTTTAAACATCTCTACACTGGGCAGTTGAAAGCGGACATTAAAAAGGAAAAAGTAGAAGGAAATGCTAGGTATGGGGAGTTTGAGAAAACAGCTACATCACGAACTCTATTATTATTATTATTTGCATTTATTTGTTTTTGTTGTTGCTGCCACTGCTTCTCCTCTAGTTGCTGTTGTTGTTTTCATTAGCATCTCTAAGTGATGAGCTGGGGTTTGAGCATCAGTCACAGCATCTAGCATCTAGAGACTGGGCAACGGAAATCCATGGAGTATATTTTCAAAAGTAAATAACAGAATTTTATGAAAGGTCTACCTTCCTTATGCGTTAGAGCAAAAACAAAACAAAGCTAACTTGCAGAAAATAAAACAACAACGAATGAACTTAATCATAATATGAAAAAGAGCTTGAGGTTTTTTTTGTTGTTGTTGCAAATAGAGAGAAATGCACTTGTTATGCAATAAGTCTTCTTCATCCAAACCCACCACCACTAACCTATGAACAAACCAATCCACTATCCACCAGCAACAACAACAACAACAACTTCCATCATCTAACCAAAATGACTTTAATTGTTTATAAGCCTAAAGACTTTGTTTGGCCATTGCCAATGCAATTATTGTTGTATTATCGAACAGTGGTTAGGGAAGAGGGTAAAATGTGAAATCTTCAAGTTGTAAGAATTATTTGGAAAGATGAAAAATAACTGGATATAAAGACTTCAATGGAAAGTTTTGAAATTTTCAAGAAGTTTTCAAGTTAAAAGCTTTTTCTGATATTTTAAAAGATCCACCGTAGATCTCCATTAAGATCGCTTGCTCATCATTATAAAGATCAGTAGTAGATCCTTATTAAGAACCATCATAATATCCTTATAAAGAACAATCATATAATCATAAATAGATCTTTAAAAAGATCAATAGCCGATCATTAAAAGAATTAATCTCAGATTAATTTAAAGAACAGATATTTAACAGGATCACAAATCTCAATCGCAGATCTTTTTAAAGTTCTACCACAAAATTCCATAGAGATTAATCGCAGATCTCTGTAGAAATCAGTTTTGAATCTTCATTCAGATTCAATATTAAATCAGAGATCCTTATAAAGACCAATGGCAAATCTTCGGAAAGATTACGAAGATTAATCTCGCAGATCTTCAGTTTTGAAAATATCAACTATAGATCGTTAAAAAGATTAATAACTAATCTATATAAAGAACAATGACATTTCTTTATAACGATCAATGAGAGCTCATTATAAATATCGATCACAGATCTTTATATAAACTGCAAATCTTATTAAAGATCAATTTGGAATCTTCCTAAAGTTACAATATATATAACTGTTGATCTAAGATCTTTATAGAAATAGAAAGAATGATTAATCACCGATCTTTATTAAAATTAATCTCACAAATTTTCGCAATGATCAGTCGCCGATCGTTTTAAATCTTCGCAGTTCTTTATAATCGTAGATCTTTGTACAAACTTTTATAAATATAGACGACAGATTCTTATAAAGATCAATAGCAGCTCTTTATAAAAATTAGTGGCAGATCCATATAAAGTTCAATAGATCATTAAGAAGATCGTTCGCAAATCTTTATAAAGATCAATTGCAAATGTTGAAAACTATTGGCCAATCGAAGATCTTTATAGAACAGTAATGCATATGTACCTTTGACCTCTCTGACTTCTCATCTAGTTATTAAATTTTATAACACTTTTCAATTTTTTTAACCACTGTTCTCATTGCATATCCGTTTTCTTCTATTGTTTTTAATTTTATTAATTCATTATATTAAGTTTTCTCTTTTAAGGTTTGCTAACAACAATTCACAAAAAAAAAACTATAAATTTACATTATACAGTTTAAAGTTTAATTTCCAAACTAAAACGCACTAAACCTCTGCCCATTTTCCCTCTTAGATCTCTTACAATATTTTTAGCCCAGAGAAAACAGCGTATATGATGTTTAACATTTAAGGAAATATTATCAAGTTGTACTGCTATAATACGTTTAAAATCACTCTCATTATAAAAACCATTCGAATGGTTTACAACAGAAACAAAATCCACCTCGGAAATTTTATAAAAACGCTGAGGATAATACATAAACTTAACTGAAGGTCTGGAGTCGCAGGAAATCCATATGTGCTGTTTAAGTTGTTGTTGGGGTATATTTTCCAAATATTCCAGCAATTCCTGCGGAGCATCCTGAGGCAAATCGTTTATACTCTCTAGCGCTAAAGTTTTAAATCCAATTATACGATTTATCTTAAGAAAAATACAAGGTTTGCCTTGTCTATAGCCGTAATAATTATGATTATGACATTCACCAAAATATTCCTCTGGTATTTGCCCATACTTTCCTAGAGCTTTATTAATATGATCCACCAAACCGCCCACTTCTTTTAGGGTTTTCTCATGATACTCAATTTTCAAATAATTCTCACGAAAAGTTGTTGCTGGTTCAAAACTGAAACCCGGTTGCGTTAGAAGCCATTTAGATCTTTGTGGTGTTAGAGACATCTCAAAAATCCCATAGCATAGAAACCATAAGGCGAATATGCCAGAGAAAAATATTGTATAGAAGATTAAGAGCAACAGCCAATGAAATGGGGTGCGTGTTAGTATGGTGCCGTTTTCCAGATTTAACAACACTTTGGTCCAGCTTGTTCTTGAAGACATTCTTGATGACGAAAACGTTTGTTTAGTTTAAAGGGTTCAACGAACAATGAAATTGAAGCAGATGAAGAGTTTACGTTTTTATAAATTCAAATATTTTGGAAATGGTCAAGAAATTTAATTATTAATTAAAGCAAGAGTTCTAGTTTAGTTCTAGTTCAGTTCTAGTTCAGTTCTAGTTCAGTTCTAGTTCAGTTCTAGTTCAGTTCTAGTTCAGTTCTAGTTCAGTTCTAGTTCAGTTCTAGTTCATTCTAGTTCAGTTTCTAGTTCAGTTCTAGTTCAGTTCTAGTTCAGTTCTAGTTCAGTTCTAGTTCAGTTCTAGTTCAGTTCTAGTTCAGTTCTAGTTCAGTTCTAGTTCAGTTCTATTTCAGTTCTAGTTCAGTTCTAGTTCAGTTCTAGTTCAGTTCTAGTTCAGTTCTAGTTCAGTTCTAGTTCAGTTCTAGTTCAGTTCTAGTTCAGTTCTAGTTCAGTTCTAGTTCAGTTCTAGTTCAGTTCTAGTTCAGTTCTAGTTCAGTTCTAGTTCAGTTCTAGTTCAGTTCTAGTTCAGTTCTAGTTCAGTTCTAGTTCAGTTCTAGTTCAGTTCTAGTTCAGTTCTAGTTCAGTTCTAGTTCAGTTCTAGTTCAGTTCTAGTTCAGTTCTAGTTCAGTTCTAGTTCAGTTCTAGTTCAGTTCTAGTTCAGTTCTAGTTCAGTTCTAGTTCAGTTCTAGTTCAGTTCTAGTTCAGTTCTAGTTCAGTTCTAGTTCAGTTCTAGTTCAGTTCTAGTTCAGTTCTAGTTCAGTTCTAGTTCAGTTCTAGTTCAGTTCTAGTTCAGTTCTAGTTCAGTTCTAGTTCAGTTCTAGTTCAGTTCTAGTTCAGTTCTAGTTCAGTTCTAGTTCAGTTCTAGTTCAGTTCTAGTTCAGTTCTAGTTCAGTTCTAGTTCAGTTCTAGTTCAGTTCTAGTTCAGTTCTAGTTCAGTTCTAGTTCAGTTCTAGTTCAGTTCTAGTTCAGTTCTAGTTCAGTTCTAGTTCAGTTCTAGTTCAGTTCTAGTTCAGTTCTAGTTCAGTTCTAGTTCAGTTCTAGTTCAGTTCTAGTTCAGTTCTAGTTCAGTTCTAGTTCAGTTCTAGTTCAGTTCTAGTTCAGTTCTAGTTCAGTTCTAGTTCAGTTCTAGTTCAGTTCTAGTTCAGTTCTAGTTCAGTTCTAGTTCAGTTCTAGTTCAGTTCTAGTTCAGTTCTAGTTCAGTTCTAGTTCAGTTCTAGTTCAGTTCTAGTTCAGTTCTAGTTCAGTTCTAGTTCAGTTTCTAGTTCAGTTCTAGTTCAGTTCTAGTTCAGTTCTAGTTCAGTTCTAGTTCAGTTCTAGTTCAGTTCTAGTTCAGTTCTAGTTCAGTTCTAGTTCAGTTCTAGTTCAGTTCTAGTTCAGTTCTAGTTCAGTTCTAGTTCAGTTCTAGTTCAGTTCTAGTCAGTTCTAGTTCAGTTCTAGTTCAGTTCTAGTTCAGTTCTAGTTCAGTTCTAGTTCAGTTCTAGTTCAGTTCTAGTTCAGTTCTAGTTTCAGTTCTAGTTCAGTTCTAGTTCAGTTCTAGTTCAGTTCTAGTTGAGTTCTAGTTCAGTAAATTGGAATCGGAATGAAATTTAGCATTAATAAGTTTTATATAAAGTTTAACTCTTTGATCGGGCATGTCCGACTATATTTTCTTACTAAAAAAAAATAATTTATCTTATTAAAATAAAATATTAAATAATATTCTGTTATGCCGAAATTATGGTTACTGCTGATACATATATTAAAATTCTCTTAAAACTAAATTACTTACGAAAATATTTTCATTTGAAATCTCTCATCCCTCCACGCTAACGTCATACTTGCATCTTTTTATCTCCAAAAAATCTTAAGGCTCTTATTGCATTTTAATCTTTTGGGGAATTGTTTCCTTATAAAAAATTAATTTACTTTTTTATATACTACCAAAATAAATGTTACCTCTCCCTCTATATCCCCCATGCCCCTCACCATAAAATAATAGCTGATAGGTCTTCTTTTATATCTAAAAAATAAGTACGAGTAGAGTACTCCAGAGGCAAAATGTAATTATAAACTCAAAAACGAAATGAAATATCAAGCAAACGAAATCCTCATACTACCGCCACAGACGATGACGAGCAAGAAATGCAATCAACAACAAAAATAAGTTTGCATTTTGAAGACTCAAACCCCTCATTCAGAGAAAATACAACTTAAATAACCTCAAAAAAATCAACACAACAGAAAAAAAGCGTTCAAAAAAAAAACAACCAAAAAGAATATATAAATGTCTGAAGTAGAACATTGACAATGCAGTAAATGCAGTTCTTTTTTTATAAAAACAGAACAAACAAGTTAGAGTGCTATATTCGGCTGAGCCGAATCTTAAATACCCTCCACCAGCAACTTTTGTATTAATACATTTCTAATTAATAAAATATTTGTAGAAATAAGTTTTCTCATGTCATAAATAGAAAAAACCCAAGATTTAAACAGCTTAAATCTACTACAATTCCAAGATTTATTGAACATTAGAAACGCCACTTCCTTTTAAATTTTTATAGCGCCCTAAGATATGCTTTAGCGATATCTAGTATTTGCATGTGTGTGAAAGATTTAAGGATTTTCAAAATACATACATATATATAATTTTGTTCTACACAAATTTATAATGCAAATAGTTAAATACGGTTAAAGCGCTTTTAGGGGCAGGACCTAGTATGAGAAATATGACCAAATATAGACCGATCGTAAAAAATTTTTGAAATAACATTAAGTGCTTTTTGCATTACAAAATAGTATTTATGAACAAAAATAGTATTTATTTATATCATTATTTGGTAATGAGTTATGTGCCTTTAAGTGTTTTTCTGAAAGGGACCTTGTATGGGAGCTATGATCAATTATGGATCGATAGGAAAACAATGCATATGGACAATACTTATACTAAATTTTATATGGATATCTTAATTTAGTAATGAGTTATGCGCGTTTAAGTGATTTTCGGGAGGGAAACTTGTATGGGAGCTATGACCAATTATGGACCGATCGGAAAAAATTTCACGGTAATATTTCTATGCATGTGGGCAATACTTGTACCAAATTTTATATGGATATCTTAATTTAGTTATGAGTTATGCGCGTTTAAGTGATTTTCGGGAGGGGACCTTGTATGGGAGCTATGACCAATTATGGACCGATCGGAAAAAAATTTCACGGTAATATTTCTATGCATGTGGGCAATACTTGTACCAAATTTTATATGGATATCTTAATTTAGTTATGAGTTATGCGCGTTTAAGTGATTTTCGGGAGGGGACCTTGTATGGGAGCTATGACCAATTATGGACCGATCGGAAAAAAATTTCACGGTAATATTTCTATGCATGTGAGCAATACTTGTACCAAATTTTATATGGATATCTTAATTTAGTTATGAGTTATGCGCGTTTAAGTGATTTTCGGGAGGGGACCTTGTATGGGAGCTATGACCAATTATGGACCGATCGGAAAAAAAATTTCACGGTAATATTTCTATGCATGTGGGCAATACTTGTACCAAATTTTATATGGATATCTTAATTTAGTTATGAGTTATGCGCGTTTAAGTGATTTTCGGGAGGGAAACTTGTATGGGAGCTATGACCAATTATGGACCGATCGGAAAAAAATTTCACGGTAATATTTCTATGCATGTGAGCAATACTTGTACCAAATTTTATATGGATATCTTAATTTAGTTATGAGTTATGCGCGTTTAAGTGATTTTCGGGAGGGGACCTTGTATGGGAGCTATGACCAATTATGGACCGATCGGAAAAAAAATTTCACGGTAATATTTCTATGCATGTGGGCAATACTTGTACCAAATTTTATATGGATATCTTAATTTAGTTATGAGTTATGCGCGTTTAAGTGATTTTCGGGAGGGGACCTTGTATGGGAGCTATGACCAATTATGGACCGATCGGAAAAAAATTTCACGGTAATATTTCTATGCATGTAGGCAATACTTGTACCAAATTTTATATGGATATCTTAATTTAGTTATGAATTATGCGCGTTTAAGTGATTTTCGGGAGGGGACCTTGTATGGGAGCTATGACCAATTATGGACCGATCGGAAAAAAATTTCACGGTAATATTTCTATGCATGTGGGCAATACTTGTACCAAATTTTATATAGATATCTTAATTTAGTAATGAGTTATGCGCGTTTAAGTGATTTTCGGGAGGGGACCTTGTATGGGAGCTATGTCCAATTATGGACCGATCCATAAAATTTTTCCTCTGGAAGAATTCTACTGACATAAGATTTTAATTTGTGAAATTTTGTGAAGATATCGACATTGTAGCGGAAGTTATTAACAAAAAACCCATTTTCCGGGAATTTGTACTTTTGTATGGGAGGTATATGAAATTGTGGACCGATTCTGGCAATTTTCAGCATGGATCAAGATCTTGTGCAGAAACGAATATATGGTGATTTCCATGAAATTATCTTGCACAGTTTTCGAGAAAATTATATCATAATGTGTAAAAAATGCTTATTTTTTTCCGAGGTTGTTTTAAATTTTGATTCATAACTTTTCCCGGTGTGAACCGATTTTGCCCATTTGCAATACCAAACAACTTAGGAAAATGAAGAACATTTTGGGTGAATTTGGTTAAACTCTATTGCTTCGTTTTATCGTGAGCGTGTTTTACACAGACAGACGGACAGACGGACAGACGGACAGACGGACAGACGGACAGACGGACAGACGGACATAGCTAAATCGACTCAGAATTTGATAAGGACCCAGAATATATATACTTTGTTGGGTCTCAGATGAATATTTCTTGGTGTTACACACGGAATGACAAAGTTATATATACCCTCTATCACCACTGATGGTGGTGGAGGGTATAAAAACAATAAAATGCATTTGGAAAAAAATGCAAAAAAAAAGTTGCAAATACTCGCACATGCAGGCAGTCAGCAGGCAAACAAAAACGCACACAAACTTAAGTAAACAAAAATATTATGA